ATCTTTGTCGTAGATACAAAGTCATTTGAATTGATCCTAATACCCAAGTTTTTTAGCTTCTTATCATGAAACCTCCTAGTCATCCTATGGACTGCTTTGCCCAAACCTTCAGCCATATATTTTAACTTAAGAAAGTCTTTCTCGTTTAAAATCTGAGAATGGGTTTGTCTTAGTCGGGTCTTGATTCTATTCAGATCGTGTGAGTTGGCAGTGCTTTCTTTAGGTCTGGCTTTACCCAAACCACTCGATACCACATCCAGTTCCTTATTGATAGAAATAGGTAAATTATTAAGCCTACCAAGGAAACAACATTTAGGAACTACTTTGTGAGAAATAAACTTTAAAAATGTAGAAGTGGCCACAACATCTTGGTCTTCACATCTTTAAAAATGTAATTCTATTGACTTGCCGAGATATAGTTTTATTCGTTTTAGTGTATCGAGAAGACAGATGACAAGAATTTGAACCATACATACGTTCAATATACGAAAAGGATGCGGGTTCAGAAGAATCCCCAGTTCAAGGGGCCATTCAGGCTCTAACGCTCACCCTGAAGGAGCATTCAGAGATTAAGGAGGGAATTAAGTAGAGTATGGCTTCCATTCTAAGACTCCTTAACCTATCAATGAGTAGTGCATATTTCACCTCTGACGGAAGGTTTTATGAACAGACACAAGGACTTGCAATGGGTTCTTGCTTAGCTTCAATCTTGGCGAATAACTACATGGCTAAGTTTGAGAAACGTTTAATGCAAGAGATAATTCTCACTACTAAATTATTTGTTAGATATATGGATAATTGTTTTGTGATTTATCAGCATAGTAAAGATAACCAGCGTAAAAGGGACATTAAATTTACAATGGAATTAGAAGAAAATAGGAAATCACCTTATTTGGAGGTTATGGTTATTGGGGAAATTGGTAAGCTAGGCAGAGATGTTTGAAACAAACCAGCATATACTTGTTTTGCTCTTAATTTTATTTCTAACTATAGTCAAAAAACAAAGGTTGGAATTTTAAAAACGATGATAATTAGGAGTATGAGGCTTGCAGATTAAAATCATGTGACTGGAGTTAAGAAGACTGAAGGTTGTACCACTGGAGAAATATTATCCTTTGGGCTTAATTGATAATAAAATATCCTTAATGAGGAATAAATTTTCAGGCGTAGACTATATGGTCAGAGAGAGGCAAGCTGAGACCTTTTCTCATGTTCTAATCTTGACGTCATGCTTTCTTTCCAAGAAAATAAGATAACTAGTAAGGAAGTGAGGGATACAGACAA